GTGCGTGTGTGTGTGTGTGTGTGTGTGTGTTTTCACGTGTTCTTCAGAAGAAACCAGATCAGACTAAACTAGGACAGCGACTGCCAGCTGAAAGCCTTCCTTCCACGAGCTTCTGGAGCATGCAGCGTGTCGAGAAGGACCTGAGGGTTTGATTCAGATGATTTCAGCAGCACAAACTGAACTCTGAAGTCATTTATTACACCTGAACAACACAAAGACTTGCAGTGATTCGAGCTCAGCTTCACGATGAACACAGACAGCTCAAATACTGTCATGATGAAGAAGCACCAGAGTCTTACTGAGCAAGTTAAAGTTAGTTCAACTGAATAGTAACATCAGAGACATTACTGAGCGTCCCAGCGGACAGGGAATGTTCTCAGAGTGTTCTGGCAAGGTTATGAACAAACGTTCTTCCAGTAACAGTAATAGAATGTTCATTCAAAGTTATCTGCTCTTCAAATGTTTTTGAAATGTTGCTACATGTTTCAGAGCGTTCAGAGAACATTCAAATGTAACGTTTCCCTAATGTTCAAAAGGATCAGATGCCATGTTCCCTTAACGTTCACATAACGCTCTGTGATCTGTGATTGCACGACATCAGAAAGATCAGGCCCTTCCTAACAGCCTGCTGCACAGCTTCTGAAACTTGCATCATGAGCACTTCCTGTCATGAACCGCTTGTATTCCTCAAAAGCATCTGCTAAATTAATAAATGTAAATACATGATGACCAGGTTTATATATTTATCATCAATAAATCCAGTTTGATTCAATCGTATACATTTTAACTAATTAAATATTGCTTATTTCACATGTAGCCATATTTTAACCATTTACTTTTTAACTGGATAAATGTACAGTAATTGTATTCGCAATGAACAGATTTAGGCTGATTCTAAGCTTTTTGAATAAATGCAGTTTAAAAATATGGATAATTGAGTAAAAACTGCAGAAATCTGACCCGTTTCATTTCTGTATGACTTACATTAGGCCTAAATATTGTTTTTTTTTAATGTGTAGAGAGAAACAGGAGAACTGAAACCAGACTCCTGCTGATCCAGATGGACCTGTGGAGATCTTCATTTCCTGAACGACCGCTGAGTGTCCCGAACACACACACACACACACACACACACACACACTGACAAACGTCTGCCAGATTCCAGGAGGTCAAAGGCCAACATGTGCGGCCTATGAAGTGCACTCACTGACCAGCATCATGTGTAACACAATCTGCTGCACATCAGAAACGGTTTCACACAAGCAGACAGAATGACTGATGACTTCAGAAACTGATGTGTGCTTGCTTTTCTGCATGTGCTACACAAGTGTTTTCCATCTCTGCATTTAGAATATTTTGATAAACTAGCATGCATTTATGTATATGTATTTCCGTGTTGATGCAAACGCCGGTCAGACCATCAGTGCAGGTAAAGTGTGTCTGATATTTCGTCACATGTCGGTTGCCATGGGAGATAAAGTCCCGTCTGTCTCTCCAGCAAATCAGCGTTTTCATTTTCAGAGGAAATGAGCAGCTTTATTATGTGCTGCTTATGCAATCAAACTGTGTGTGTGTGTGTGTGTGTGTGTGAGAGAGTGTGTGTGTGTGTGTGTGTGTGTGTGAGTGTGTGT